CTATGAACAAATTCCTATGCACACTGCACATATTTTATTTTGAAGTAAAAAAACAAAACGGGGCAAAAAAACCCGGCGGGCGGGTTAAGTGTCCTAGGTGGGCCGCATGTGGCCCGTGGGCCCGTAGTTTGAGGACCCCTGACCTAGTGCAATATGTCTTGATTTCTTGACTGCTGCTTCCGTGAGCATTGATTGTAGACCCAAGTAAGAGAAAATCTTTAACAACTTCAACCTTTTCTCCATTTATCATGTGCTACCTATTGGTCTAGTTGTGAGGATTTGGGTCTTCCTTATGTTGAGTTATAATCCACACTGAAGGCTATAATCCTTGATCTTCAGCAGCAAGTGCTTCAGTTCCTCCTTTCAGCCAGCAAGGTTGTGTCATCCGCATACCACAGATTCTTAATAAGCTTTCTCCAATCCTGATGCCACACTCTTCTTTATACAACCCAGCTTTGCTGATGATGTGCTCAGCATGCAGTTTGAACAAGTATGGTGAGAGGATACAATCCTGACACACCCCTTTCATGACTTTAAGCCACTCAAAATTCCCTTGTTCTGTTGCCACAATTGCCTCTTGATCTGTTTACAAGTGTCTCATGGGCACAATGAAGTGTTCTGGAATTCCCATTCTTATCAAGATTATCCACAGTTTATTATAGTCCACACAGTCGAATGCCTTTGCATAATCAATGAAACATAAGTAAATATCTTTCTGGTATTCGCTGCTTTGAGCCAAGATCCAGCTGACATCAGCAATGGTCTCCCCTGTTCCAGGTCCTCTTCTGAATCCCGCCTGAACTTCTGGCAGCTCCCTGTCCGTGCACAGCTGTAACCATTGTTGGATGATTTTCAGCAAGAGTTTACTTGCATGCAATATCAATAAAATTTTTTCTAGTTTGAGCATTTTGTTGGGTGGATCCAAGTAAAATGAAACCCTTGACAACTTCAGTCTTTTAGATTATGATATTACGTATTGGTCCAGTTGTGAGGATTTGGGCATACTTCATATTCTGATGTGATCACTGCTAAAAGCTGTAGTCTTTGATCTTTATCCGCTAGTGCTTCAATCCCTCTTTGCTTGTAAGTTGGTGTCATCTGCATAGCTCAGATTGTTCATGAGCCTTCCTCTGTTCCTGGTGCCATGTTTTTCTTAATTCAGTCTAGCTTCTGAAATGGTTCGCTTCATACCCAGCAGGACGGAAATCCCAGTGCATCCTGTTAGCATTCACTAACAAGTGAATCCGTTCCCTGTCTTCCCCAACTTCTCTTACTCAGAGTCAGGGCCGGGTCACCTGTTGAGGGCTGGCTCGGCTGTGACCAGAAGAGCCATAAGAAGGACTGCACTACTCTGCAATGACGCAAGTCAGACTGTGCTTCTCCTGCACCTGTAACTGAGTGCCTGGTGGGCTTTACTCCACCGCAGGACCCTGATTCTATTCTGACGGATGCTATTGATCTTTGAGAAGCTCCTGTTCTACACATGTAATTGATGCATGTATTCCATCTAGCGAGGTCCCTGTGTGTAGTCACTGTTTATGTTCTTGAAAAAGGTCCTTTGTGGGTTTTTAAAGTCATTTGTCTTGTAAGGTTCTACCCTACGATTTCCAGTGTCCTTTCTGTCACTAAGGCTGTGTCCTCCCTTGGGTCCGACTGTTGCATTCCAGTCAGCAGTAATTAGCACTATATCTTGCTTGCAAGTTTGATCGGTTCCAGACTGCAGAAGCTGGTCAAAAAAATCACTTCATCTTTCGTCATTAGTGGTTGGTAGGTACAGCTGAATAATAGTTGAATTAACTGGTTTTCTTTGTAGGCTATGGATATTTTCCTATCATTAACAGTATTTGCTTCTGGATAGATCTTGAAATGTT